GGTTAAGTGGCTGCCTTCGGCTCAGGTCATGATCCCAGGGTCCTGGGATCGAGCCCCGCTTCTCCCTCTCCCTCTGCTGCTTTCCCTGCTTGTGTTCTCTCTCCCTCTCTCTCTCTCTGCCTGTCCGTCAAATAAATAAATGAAATCTTTTTAAAAAAAATAGAAGCTGCAGGGTCTGTGCGGCCACAGTGGTTTTAGCGTGCAGAAATCTTAGAGAATCGGCCATTTTTACATGTGAGGAAAGCACACAGAGACGTCCGAGTTTCAGAAAAGTAACTTCCTTGTGGGCCTTCCAGGATGAGGGGCTTCAAGCCACATCCCTGAGGACTGGCTGAGTTGACCCTCTGTGTACCCTGTACGTTTAGCTGTAGGTCAGTTAAGGAGCATGTTTACCAAAAAGGATGGCTTTCTAGCAGGAATTAGCATAGCAGGACCTGTTTCTAAGAGGACTACTCCTTTCCTCCCTCCCTTCCGCTTATTCATTAGTTCAGCAAATACTTAAGTGTTTTTCAGGTCTGTGTTATAAAATCCCATCCTATCTTGCATATACAAGCATCCTTATATTTTCACTTTCTGTTGGCGGAGTGATGCATCCAGCTTATTTAAAATGGATATCATGTGAATAAGGAGCAGTTTAAAAGGGAGGGGGGACACAACATAGCTGGTATTTTATCCCATTAGACATTAATGTCTTTTGTCAAGAGACTAGTGCTAACGTCCTTCCCTGTTACAGTGGTATTAAGGTACAGATTCTGGGCCTTAGAAGCCAGAAGAGAGAGGATGAGCTCTGTTTATCTTAGTTCCTAACCATTTTCTTTCTCCTGAGTCACTGACTTAGGAACAAGCAATAAAAGCTGCAAGCAATCTTTTATTATTCCCATAGATTTCTGTCTAAGATGATAAACAGTGGATGTGAGTCACTGTAAAAGAACATCCTTGTAAAAGTGTAATAGAACATAGTTGGCTGGGCAAGCCTACAGTCGGTGTAGGATACTGGATTTATAATGTGTGAAGGTACAATTTAGATGGGAAGTCTAGTGGTTGAATGGTAGGATTGAGAGAAGGGCTGCTTTCTTATTTGCCAGGGGTTTAAGTTCTACGCTAGATCCAAACACAATGCCATAGGTGGGCACGGCCCAGCGTGCCCTTTAGGGTGGTCCTCCATCAGCTCCTCTCTGTTCTGTTGACCTTGAGTGTTCCAATTCATTGTACCCTATAAACCTGAACCATTTGGAAAATAGGACAATAAAGGAGAAAGGGGCTGGCAATATTGCCATCAACTCTGATGAAGCTTATGTTGGAGAATGTGGATTTTCTTTGTAGACAGGTGGGTTTCCTACATTTAAATCCTGGCATTCAAGAAATGTGGCCACCCAGTGACGGCCAGCTCTGGCCAAGCCCCTCCCCTCCCCTAGCACCACTGGCAGCGAGGGCCCAAGGGCTGCAGGACTGACCTCTGCTCCCTGGGAGCGCTCATCTTCCCCCACCCGGGAAGCAGGGAGCAGGGCTATGCGTGCCCAGTTCTCTCCCAAACCCCCAAAGCCAGGAATTCACCCCCTGGAGCAGGGGGATTATGCTGGTGCAGGGCCCTGCAGAGGAGACACCATGAGTGGGGCCTAGTTCATGCCCACATAACTGTGTCCAGAACTCCACTCACATGAGCAGAGCTGGTGGTCAAATTCCAATGTTCACAGAAGGACTAATAATGACGGGATTGATTTTTTGAAAAGAGAACTCTCTCAGGTGGCCCCTTCCAGTTTGATTGCCTATCACCACCCTACCCCCTGGTTTGTCATCCTGCAGTCCTCACCAGCTCAGGCTCCAGACCATGGGTTAGTATCTCCTGGGAGACAAGGTAAATCTGTGTTTACATTTTCAGCAATCTGATCATTGTAAGAAGGGAAGCATCTCCCTCGGGGCACAAAAGGCAGGGATTTTTTGTTTTCTAAGATTGTACAAGTAATACACAAATGTGCTCACTGGAGAACAACAATCTAATAGTAAACTGAACACAAATCCGTCTCTCCCTCACACTTACCCATCTCCTCTCCCTCCATAGGTGACCCTGGTGACTGTTTCACATCCATCCTTCCAGACTTTAAAAAAGTATATAGAATTAAGGTTTTTATTAGACATATCACTCTGCAACTAGTTTAAAGAGTTTTCTATATCCTTCTGGATTTATTCACATTTTCCTTATCTTTTAGAGTTTTAATTTAAGAGCAGTATGGTCCGTTTAACCATTCCTCTTGCAAACCTTTAGGTGCCGTTTCAGTTTTTTGCTGTTTCTAATAATGATGCAGCACACATCTTTGTATCTGCAGATAGCATGGGAAAGCACCGTGGTTTGTCTCTCTTCTTAGCCCCCTGTTCGTACTGGGTAAGCACAAATGCAGAGACACCCCAGGGAAGGAGTGCCTGATGGAGGAGAGTGACCATCCTTACCCATGTAGAGCATCCATCGTAGGGCGGGAGTTGGGGGGGCGGGGAGGGCTGACCATGATACAGAGTCCAGTGCTGACTCCAAAGGTGGAAACCCAAGCATAGCTCTGTGGGTGAGTCCCAAGTCCTGCCTAGTGGTATCTGTGGGTTTTGGGGTTCATTGGCTGGAGAAATTCCCATTTAAATGCATCCTTATTTGGAAAAATGGCCCATTTGGGAATTAACTCTTTTTCAGCAACTCCCAAGTAGACCCCATTGGGAATATAAGTTAAAATACTGCCAGGTGTGATTGCATTATATATATTTAAGGCTCAGGACATGCAAATCTTAGAAAGCATTTACTTCAAAATCAGCCATCCTTCTTAGCAGTAAAAACCTGCAGGGGGCTGGGGCTGGTGGCAGTAGTGGTGGTGGGGACCCTTTCTTGGATGGCCTCATGCAGTTGCTCAGGAAACACTGCTTGGCATCGTTCTGCCGAGGAGGATTCTTCCTAAAGCTTGCTGTTGTGTGGACGGTGACCCTGGCTTGAAGTTCAATACCATCAGACCTTACGTTGTCCGTTATTTTGCTTTCTTAAGTCTTGGCAAGATGCCTGCTCCTTGTCTGCCTCGCCTCTGCACCTCAAGGCAGCCTTTTTGGGTCTCATGCTCTGTGTGCTCCATGTTGCACACCTAGCTCACCTGTCCTTGCTACACCTCCTACCCCAATGTCCATCCCATACCTGACCTGACCCTGGTGATGTGAGGATTGATCACCTTTGATCTCAGCCAGTTGGTGGGACCGTGATTGGCAGAGAGTGTCTGTACCTCTAGCTCAGATTTCTCTTCTGACTTCCAGACTCAGACTTACAAGCTTTCTCCCTGTGAATGTCTGATAGGCACATCATTTCTACATCCAAAAACAGGCTCATCTTTTCCTCCAGACAGATGGTCTCCCCTCCTGTACTTCCTGTCTTGGCAAATGACACTCCAGAGAACACCTGCGAATCATCCAAGCCTCTTCCCTCTTTTGGGCCCTGTGTTCAGGCAGTCCTAGGGATCTGAGCGCCTTCCTCCCTCCTGCCCCATGTCTTTGTTGCTTTGTGTCTGTTCGGGCTCTTCCTCTTCCTGTCCCGGCTAAAGCAACATTTCTTAACCGGTCTCAGTCTCAAAGCTCTCACCTGTCTGATTACTCATGCATGCGGGAGCAGGGGTGACCTTTCTGGTTGTGTCTTATTTATTTATGCCCTCAAGTTTCAGGAGGGATGTAGGTACGTACAGGCATCAATCACGTTACTGTCTTGCTTCATACCTGTCGTTGCTCCAGGTCCAAAGTGCTCAGCGTGGAGTCCACAGCCTGCTGTGACCTAATGCCCATCTGTCTCTCCACGCTTAGCTTTGGTCACAGAAAGCCCAAGAGGCCTCAGCACCCCGGCCCCTAGCACTTCCCCACCTGAGCATGGGCTGCATACGTTGCCTAGCCCCAGGCTCTCAGATGACCGCAGGCCACAGGGTGGAGGCAGGGCCCAGGGTGGTGCCCTCTGTGACCTGGTAAGCCAGAGAGGCACCTGCCCGGAAAGTGCGTTCAGGAACTCGGCACTCCCACCCCACTGACTCAGCCTCATTCCCAAATGCCATGTGCACAGTGTCTCATTTCAGCCCTCGCCTCCTGCACACACCCCTGCAGTCCTGTGCTGTGCATGTAGCCCTTAGTGTTGCAGAGTTGGCGGTAGCGACGTCCTGTAGAGCAGCTTTTTCCAAAGCAAGTGCCTGCAGACACTAATCCTAGAGGGTTGCCTGTCCCCAAAGCCAATGGCTGATGTATGAAGTTTGGGACACGCCATATTCTGAGATTCTCAACACTCAGCAGTGCACTAAAGACTCTTCAAGAATCCCACCCGGTACATCTGCAGAGGCTTTGACCAAGGGACACTTCGTCACGTTACAGCTTAGACCGATCTCTCAAAACACTTTCTGATGTCACAAAGCATGGGCAAAGCTCCTCATCTCGCTGTTGGCCTGCTCCTGTGGCCCCCATCCATTCTCGTCCCCACCCCATGACCACTGGCTTCAGGGAGTGGTAACGGCTGAGGGCCAGGCTCAGGTTCCTTGCCTGCAGCTGAGCAGCAATGGAGGCATAATGCTTCCATTTCACTCTGCTCAGGTAGAAATTCTGAGCAGGGAGTTCAATGCGGGGCTCGATCCCAGGACCCTGGGATCGTGACTTGAGCCGAAGGCAGACGCTTAACAGACTGAGCCACCCAGGCGCCCCTAAAGAGAAAATCTTAATAAAGAAAAAGGTCAGGATAATAAAGCGATTTTCATTGCTTTTGTTCTCTGTGACATCTGACTAGGCAGCTTTAAGCGCCTCTGGGAGTTTGGTTGGGGAGAACCCGTTTGTTTTTTTATGGGGTATTCCTTGGAGCAGAGTCGCAACGAACCAAGGGTGGTAGGCAGCTTGGGAACTACTTGAGTAGTGTGTAGCTTAACTTCAGTTTGGGCTAATTTTTATTTTATTTATTTAAAATTTTCTTTCTTTGTTTTAGAGAGAGAGTATGCTAGTGAGCGTGCCTGTGAGGCTGGGGGCGGGGGTAGAGCTGAGGGAGAGGGACAAGCAGACTCCGCGCAGAGCCTGACGCAGGGCTCATCTCATGACCCAGAGATCATGACCTGAGCTGAAATCAGGAGTTGGACGCTTAACCGACTGAGCCACGCAGGCACCCCTGTTTGGGCTAATTTTTAAATCATATATGATTATGATGGGCGAATCCTGATGGATCAAAACCTTTGCAAATCTGTTGATTCTGTGTGAGTAGAGTGATTTAGGATTCATGCATTGTTCTCACTGCTTAACATGGTCTCTCTTCTTCTCTTTCCACCCCCGACCCCCAGGCTTCAACCATGTTAAGAGCCTCCTTGGCACCCGGGTAAGTAATTGCTCTTAGGAATTGTTAGGATGGTAAACAGCTCTAGGTAAAACTAGAATTCAAACTTTAATAAACATTCATCTTAACAGCCTAGCTTAGAGGAGAGCCTTTGATTAGCTAGAGCTCCGTGTGGATATAAAGGAAATACCAGTAATTATAAGTAATACTGTTAAACTAAAAGTATCTTTTAGTATTAATTCTATTTATTTTGGAGAGATCACATCAAATGGAAAAAAACTGTTGAATTGTTCCTATGATATTCTATAGAGATTAATCTTCTATTGTAGGGCAGTCAACAGCACGTTGCAGTGTCTAAATTTTATGTTCTTTGCTGGCTCACATGTGACCAGGGCCACAGGATGGCTCTGTGGATGCCTGAGCATTCCTATCCAAATCGATTAGGTTGTCACCGTGTGGGTGTCTGATGTTCGGGATCTTCATCCGGTGTGTATGTTGCAGTAACAAGGAAGTTGAGAACCTTTGGCAGAGGCATGAGGACCAGGGTGGGTTCTGGTGACCCTCTGAGCACCCCCCTTGTTGTGGGGTTTCGGGGGGTGCTGTCAGATTACTCAGACACCTGGGAGAGACACAGCCGGCCTCCTCCCTCAGTCCTGCCTGAGTCTGACACTGACCCTGCACTTTGTTCTCTTCAGACAGCGGCTGTATAATGTAGTGCTTATGAGACAGACTGCTGGGGTTAAAATCCCACCTCTGCTGCCGGCTCTGTGACCTTGGACCACTTATGTAACTTCCCTGTGTCTCAGTTTCTTCACTTGTGAAAGGACAATAATAGTAATAACTTTCTTATAGGATTATTGTGAGGATAAAAATGAGTTCATGTGTATAAAGCACTTAGTACAATGCTGGGGGACTTAATAAACTCTCTGGGTGTTTGCTAATGTCATTCCCAGTGGTGTAAGAGGCAAGCTTACCTGCAGAGAGTAAAGGGGGTAGTCAGTGGAGGGGCTAAAGGGGACAAAGGAGAAGGTATAACACAGTCTTCTTGGACAATGGGAGAGTGGCTGGACCACAGAAATGTGGGGCTGCTGAGCAACTTAGCTGGCAATAAATTTAGTGGCTAATATTGCCATTATGGGCAAGTAACTATGGCCCGTGTTTGACAACTTCTCTTCCCTCCAGAAGAAGCACCCCAGCTATAGAACAGTTTTAGACGTGGCTTTACAAATGGAACTTTCTTTTCTAGAACAAGACCTTGTTTAAATTTTAAATTAAAGAATCTTTTTTTATGTTGAAATAGTTTCACAGCTGCAAATACTGTGCAAAGAATTCCCCTGTGCCCTTCACCCAGATTCCGCATGTTGATATTTTGCGTAAGCCCGGTACAGTTATCAAAGTCAGAAAATTAATGCTGACGCCGTATCATCTCACCTACAGGCCTTTCTCACATCTTACCAGCTGCTCTATTACGTCCTTCGTCTGGTCCAGCATTCAGTCCAGGATCACACGTTGATGTGGTTGCCATGTCTGTGTTTCCTTTCTTTTGAAGTCATTCTTCAGACTCTTTCATGGCCTTGACACTTTCAAAGAATACTGGCCAGTTCTTTGTAATTGGAATTTCTAAAGTATCTGTGTTCATTCTAAACACAGTGGTATCTGCCTCAGGAAAATACGTGTCAGAATAATGAGTGTGCACATGTGCGTGGCTCTGCTGTGTGATGTGCAGAATAGAGCCTCCTCCCAGGAGTGTTTACTGGGATCTCATCTGTTGCCCCGTTCTCAGGCCTTTTCTCCTGGGCCCTATGAGAGGATCTCATTTTGTCTTTTAAAAACTAACATTAAGAAAACTAGCATGTAGTATTTTTTTATAATGTAATACATGCTCATTATAGAAAAGTTGAATGCTATAGGCACATATGAAGAAAATTTACAGTACCCTAAATGCTGTCCCCCTGGGGTCTTACCTCGTTTCCACCCTTCCACCCACCCTTACCTCTATTCCATCCTTTAAAACTAATGCAATGAGTGAAATGGGTGAAGGAGACCAAGAGCTACAAACTTGCACTTATAAAATAGAAACTCCTGGGATGCAGTGGACAGCCTGGCAGCTATAGTCAGTAATACTGTATTGCAAATTTAAAAGTTGCTGAGAAAGTAAATCTTAAAAATTCTCATCCCAAGAAAGGAAACATGGGAACTTTGTATGGTGACAGAGGGTAAAGAGACTCAGTGTGGTGACCACTACACACGATGTACAAATGGCGAATCATTATGTCGTAGGCCTGCAACTAATGTAATGTAGCTCAGTTACACGTCAATGAAGAGCAGAAGAACCCTTCATCTTTTTTTTTAAGATTTCATTTTTTTTGTGATCTCTACCTCCAACATGGAGCTTGAACTCACAACCCCAAGATCAAGAGTTGCACGCTCTACCGAATGAGCCAGCCGGGCACCCCAAGAACCCATCATCATGCATCTTTTCACCCAAGTCCTCATGAGCCCCCGTTTAGCATTGTGCCGGGAATATTGATCTTAGTATTAATATTCCCTGCACAGTGTCAGGAAAACCATACCGTCGTTTTTGACTTGTTTTATGCTGAAATGAATATAGAATCACAGGAAGTTGACCCCCCAGGCCCCTTCCCCCTCCCTTGGGGGAAAACAGCTGGGCCACCGCTGGTGTCCCGATACTCAGGAGGTCTAATGAATGTGCCCTTTTGCCCTTTTCTCCCTCTCTCTGAACTTGTGTGGCTGAGTAGGAAACTGAAGGATGTCCCATTGCTGCCCTCCTTGGATTATGAGAAACTGAAGAAGGATTTGATTTGGGGGAGTGACCGCTTGAAAGCCTTCTTGTTGCAGGCTCTGCGCTGGGTATGTACCTTTCCCTTGAAGTTAAGAAGAAAAAAAAGACCATGCCGGTTTCCTTGGCTGGCTACCTTGCTTGTATCTTGTACCCCATTTACCACAAATCCTTCTTCGTGCTGCCTGCCGACACCAAGAGCTAAAGGTAAAAACAGCTTCTGAAGACAGCCTTGGCCTCTTGGTAAGAACCCGGGTGTTGAGCTCGCAGTTGCCCGTGCTGTCCCTCGGTCGTTTGCTCTGTGCAGTTTCAAGCCTGCCCCCGTCGTCAGTCGTGAGCCAGCCTCCCAGCCAGCGGGGTCGGCGCGGGAGAGCCCAGAGTCACTCTCGTGACAGCTTCACAAAGACCTCTGCATTTAGGTGCTCCCTGGGGCCACTCGAGCAGACAGCAGGGGTGGACACTGATGAACCAGTCTTTAAGGGAAGTCAAGCCTCGTTTGAATTGTTGCTTTTCTTCCCACTCTTCAGATTGGTCCCAGTTAAGCCAGTGGTTCTCAAGATTTTTAGTCTCAGACCCATTGGCACTCTCAAATTGCTGAGGACCTTAAAGGGTTTAGTTTATGTGAATTTTATATACCAATATTTATAGTATTAAAAATTAAAACAACATTTTATTTTTAATTTATTTTTTAAAGATTTTATTTGACAGAGAGAGACACAGTGAGAGAGGGAACACAAGCAGGGGCAGAGGGAGAAGCAGGCTTCCCGCCGAGCAGGGAGCCCGACGCGGGGCTCGATCCCAGGACCCTGGGATCATGACCCAAGCCGAAGGCAGACACTTAATGACTGAGCCACCCAGGTGCCCCAAAACTGAGAACATTTTAAATATTCATTCATTTAAGATGAACAGCAATGAACCCAGAACATAACATAAATAACATATTTTTAAATATAAAAAAATAACCATTTTCCTCTTTTAAATTTTTTTGAAGCTTTTATTCATTTTGAAAGAGAGAGAGAGCACGAGAGTAGGGAGGGTCAGAGGGAGAAGCAGGCTGCCTGCTGAGCAGGGAGCCCGACATGGGGCTCAATCCCAAGACCCTGGGATCATGACCTGAGCCAAAAGCAGATGCCCAACCAACTGAGCCACCCAGGTGCCCTAAAAATAACTATTTTCCAAACAAAAAAAATTAATAAGGAAAGTGACATTTTTTTATATTTTGGCAAATTTCTTTAATGTCTGGCCTGATGGAGGGACAGCTGGATTCTCACATCTGCTTCCCCAATTGATTCATCACAGTGTCACACTTCATATAGCCTCTGAGAGATTGACCATGAAAAAGATAAATCAGGGGCTCCTGGCTGGCTCAGTCAGTAGAACATGCGATTCTTGATCTTGGGTTCTTGAGTTTGAGCCTCATGCTGGGTGTAGAGATTACTTAAAAAAATAAAATGTTTAGGGGCACCTGGGTGGTTCAGTCCAGTTAAGCATCTGCCTTCAGCTCAGGTCATGATCCCAAGGTCCTGGAATTGAGCCCCACGTCAGGCTCCCTGCTCCCCAGTGAGTCTGTTTCTCCCTGTCCCTCTGCCCCTCCACCTGCTTGTGCACTTTCTCTCCCTCTCTCAAATAAATAAATAAAATCTTAAAAAGAAATAAAATCTTTTAAAAAAAGATAAATTATATCTTAGTATTATTATGAAAATAATCATGACCTTGTAGACTCCTTGGAAGGTCTTTGGGGACCCCTAGGATTCCACAGACTACACTTTGAGAACTGCAGGTCTAGGCCAACACTGGTTGGCTCTTTAACTGAATGAGCCATTCTAACTTAGGCTGTAATCGTGTCAGACGCCTTCATGGATCCCTGAATTTCAGGGTATGTTGGCGTCAAAATGGCTTTGAGTAATTTCCCCAGCTCTATAGAAAAGGGTCTCCTCACTTGCACTTCTGATGGTTGGTCGTGCTTCCTGGAATATGGTCTTGAGGAATACTCTGAGGATGCATCCAGGATCAGCAGGAGTCCTGTGGTCAGTTGGTGATGTCTGCCTCAGTTGACTAGGGTGGGTGGGCAGCGTGAGGAATCTCAGGGGACCGTCCCTACCCCGCACATTGCCTCTGTCTGCTCAAGTTAGCAAACTCATTCTCTGGCTCCCACTTTGTCCACCCAGCACCTCCTCTCAATCCGTGCTACTGAGCCTCTTGGTGAGACAGGGTATTCCTTTGCTGAGTGAATGACATTGTCACAGAATAACCAGGAAGAATAAAGAGGTGTCTTAAGATCTTGTCTGTGTCGCCCTCCAGCTTCTTACCCCTCCACCCCATTCCAGCACCCTGGCCCCGGCTTCAGGGAACTGGATGGAAGGGCGGCAGCCCCCACCTGTGACGCTCTCGGCACACCCTCCTTTAATATGGTGCTCTCTCCCCTCACGGCCTTCCTGTTTGGCCTCGGTGGATCCAGTCTGTCAGCGACACCGCCTCTGGAGGTCTCCACCTTTCAGTCCTGGGGGTTTCTGCTGCTCTTGTCTTCTTCCATGTGGTTCTTTACACGTCAGCCCCTCCTCAGCAGAGGCAGGGCCCACAGTCTCAGGGGTCTTTAGTAGGATTTTCCTGGAAAAGCAAGGACGTTTGCTCACTTTAGTTTTGTGACTTTCTCATATAATTCATGCTTGTACACACTCATACACATTTCACACACTCCCCATACAACATTTTTTTTTTCTAGCCCCCTAGACAGTAAGTGAATTCTTCCTTAATACAATGCAAGAGGCTTATGACTTTCAGAATCTACAAAACTCTACCACCTACCCCTTACACACACTCACACACACACGCACACGCAGTATTGCTGCATCAGTCCCTGTAGTATAAAGTCTAGTTTGTTGGCGATGCATTGGCTCCAAGCCCTCAGCAGCCTGCCCTGTGCCGAGCCCCACATGCCTCCTGCATTCGCATGCCTCCCAGACCCGTACCACACTTCCTTCCCTGCCCATGCTCACATTCCCCTGTGCTGACTAAATATCCTGCTCATCCTTCAAGGGCCAACTCTAGAGCCCCTTTGTGTGAGAAAACCTCTAGGTGTTGGTGGGCTCTCCCTTATTTATACACTTACCATCTGGGCATTTTATCACTTCCCTTCTCTGGAGATTTCATGTGTGTGAGTTGACTCCTACATCACCCATTAGGAAATATAATATCACAACTTCTTGTTAGTTGACTGGTTGCCTGGGTAGCTACTCCCACCCTCCCCCCACCAGAATATTATTTACTTTGGTTAAATATGTAGTTACTGCTACTGCCATTTAAAAGATACCCACTATATGAACATTTTTCTCCATATTAAGACTTGGGTCTGTGACTTTTCTTTTTCTTCATTCTAGCGCTTGACCACATCCCATCCGGGAGAGCAGAGGGAGACCGTTCTGGAAGCCTATGTCGGCAACGACCTCCTGGATTGTCACAGCCACAGCCAGGTCCGTGAGAGATGGGCCAGAGCCCAGCCAGGGCCTTCATTTCGAGGGGGTGATCTTAGCAGTAGGGGGAGGCTTGACTATATGATATGTCAGCCTAGTGACCGCATGTCAACCTCGAGCTTCTGGTAGCTGGTGAGATCTGCTACTCACCCCAGACTTTGGCCCACTTTTCACCTCTAATAGAGTGCTAAACAGGTTAGAACTGCTTGATTCAACTCTGGAGCTCTTCCCTGTCATGTTTCCTTTTCCCAAAATCCCAACTCTTTGTCTCACTCCACCCCTTAACCATGAGTCCTGCAAGCTCAGCATGACTTACGGCGGGCAAGGCGGGTAAGCCAATTCAATTGTTTTTCATCTGGGCCTGACTTAAAATATGTTAACACAATATTTGTATATAGTTTTGGACCAGATAGATCTGATGATGCAGTGGGCAAAGTATGGGATTTGGAGTGAAATTAACTGGTTTTAAACCTCTGCCCTACTGCCCATGAGCCAGATAACCTTAAGTAAGATACTGGGTGTGTGGGCGCTTCCTATCTCGGAGAAGGAGCCATCACCTGCCTCGTGAGGTTGTGGGGATAATTGCGTTTGGTCACATGTGGGAAGTACTTAACCCAGTGCCCAGCACAGAGTAGCCAATACGTGGTGGTTTCCCTCCCCACTCTTCACCCTGTTACCTGTTATCAACAGCAGGCTTCACTGGACAGGAGGAGAAGTGAGATCTTGAACATGGCATATAGAAAGACACTGCATTTCATTATCTGCATTCAGTGTTATCCAAAATGATCTAAATACTTTATCTCCCTATTCTGAAGCTTCACAGGGTGTGCACTGGGTGGAATATCAACATCCCTTAGGATCGCCGATGAAACAGCACCCTGCAGAAGCTAATCACACGTTAGTCTATCCTGCACACAGGCGTAGTGTTGGAGAATTTTGAGTTGCCAGTTTTTGTGTTTTGTTTTGTTTTTTCCAAAGATTTTATTTATTTATTTGACAGAGAGAGAGACAGCGAAAGCAGGAACACAAGCAGGGGGAGTGGGAGAGGGAGAAGCAGGCCTCCCGCTGAGCAGGGAGCCCCCATGTGGGACTCGATCCCAGGACCCTGGGATCATGACCCGAGCCGAAGGCAGACGCTTAACGACTGAGCCACCCAGGGGCCCTTGAGTTGCCAGTTTATTCTTTGAATGTAGTCTTGCTGCTCCCGTGAAAGAGTTGTATTTAGTTTGAAAAATAGTCTCTCAAATTTTTGACTTATTTCCTTTTACTTTTATTTCTGCTTATTTTTGTAATGGCATTGAAACCAACTTATCAGGCATGAAGCAGCTGAAAAATATATTGTTGTGACTTTACAAACTCAGATTCAAAGAGTAAATTCAATATTGAATCTTTCTAAAACTATCTTATTTCATTAAATCTGAGATGCATTCCTCTCCCCCCCATTTTAGGATTCTGGGAAATTAGAACCTATCTAATAGTCAGTGGCCTGTTACAGCTTAATTGGCTTCTTGCCTGTCTTGGTTGTATATATAAAAAACAATGTGTTCTCTAATGAAAGACGTCCTAGGTTTTGTGATATTTGTCATAATGCTGTGATCTCTGTAGCCCTCGAAGACATGTCATTTCTTCCCCAAGTCATTATTTTTAATTGCCATGGTTTATTTTAAGCAAGGAATGAGCTGGAGCTATCTTAAGGTGTCAGAGAATCTGCAGAGCAGGAAAACTTGAGCAAAATGGATGCCATGTCACCATGACACCGGAGAGATTGGCCCTTTCAGCCAGGAAATTGGACCGGTCATTCAGTGAGTTCTAATAGCTGAGCTATTCTCAGAGTTTATCATGCAGTCTTATCACCTGGAAAGCTCATTAAAACACAAACTACCGGGCCCCTGCAGTTTCCATTTAGTAAGTCTGGGATGGGGCCTGCGAATTTGCATCCCCAACAAGTTTTCAGGTGATGCTGCTGCTGCTGGTCCAGGACCACGCTTTCGAGAATCACTATTCTTTCTTATCCAACCGAGAGAATAACATCCTATAGTTAACAGCTTTCGGAGAAAGGATGGGTGAGAAGTAGATTTTTTGAGATGATGTATGTCAGAAAATGTCTTTATTCTTTGTATGAAATTCTGGGTTGTAAATAATTTTCCTTCATTACTTGGAAGACCTTGCTCTGTTGTCTTTTAGGTTCCAGTGTTGCTGTTGAGAAGTCCAAAGCCATTCTATTTCCTGATCCTTTATATGTGGCCTGGTTATTTCTCCCTAGCAGCCTGTTGAGTCTTCTGTCACCAGTGTTAAAAAATGTCGCACTGATGTCTTTCATGAGGTGTATTTTGATTCATTGTTTTGAGTGCTTTGGGAGCCCTTTCCATCTGACAAGTACAGTCCTGGGAACTTTTCTTGATTTTATTCTGTTGATGATTTCCTCTCTGTTTTCTCGGTTCTCTCTCTGAATGTTGGACCTCTTGAACTGGTTCTCTGGTTCTGTCTTTTCTCTCATATTTTCTGTTTTTCTTCTTGCTCTGCTTTCTGGGAGATCTCCTCATCTTTATTCTCCAACCCTTCTGTCGAGTTTTTCACTCCCCCTTTTTATGGCAGTCTGTTTTTTCATGGATACAGTACAGCCTCTTGTGTCTCTGAGGCTACTATGAGTGACACATTTTCGCTTATCTCTGGTTTTCTTCTCCCTGCACAGTCCCATTTCCTTCAGGTTGCCCCCGCCATTTGTTTTGACCCTGTCTCCTGTATTGGAAACTTGCCTTGGGTTTCTGGTAGACCTTGGTTATCTCATAATGTTTTGAGTGGGGGAATGAAAGCCAGTTGGAAATTCTGAGTATGAGGGTAGGGCCTGTAGACGCAGAGCTCCACTAAGAGTGATCCAGGTGGGCTGTCTAGTAGGAACCTCTGATTTTAGGATCTCTGGTTCTTTTCTCTTGGGCTGGTGGTCATTTTCCTCCAAGAAGAGTCTTCTGATCTCCTACCTAGAGGGTGAAGGTCTGGGTGCAGCCTTCTGGGAGCCAGGTAGGAGAATAGGATGGGGTGCTCTCTGTTCAGTATTCATTCTGCATTTAGGCACTGTCCCTTCTCCCTATTTGGGTGTAGAAGCCCTGCTCACCTGTGCCAGGTGTCCCCCTCTGTTAATAGGATTTTTGTCCCCTTGGTGCCCATGGTTCTCGGTCACGCCGCTTCAAAGAATGAAGAGGTAGACCAGACAAAGAGTGGTGGGCAGCAAAGCAAAGTTTATTGAGCAAGAGTGTAAAGCTCCCGGAGAGGGCGGGGGGCCTGAGTGGGTTGCCCCCAGAGTTTCTAAGTTTAGGGGTTTTTATCAGCTCTTCTGCAAAACTATCGTAAGCAATCAGGGTGTGCTGAGTCATCCCAATCAGGACTTCGGTCACATATCTGTCTACCTATTGGGTTAATGTCTCTGTGCTGATGGTCTTTTTTTGCTGACATTTGGGGGCTTAGGTCTTAACTGCCCCTTGCCCGTGATATTGACAAATGCTTGCGGTTAATTGTCTTATTTTAGGACATTTTGCAGAAGTCATTTCTGCAAAGGCTGCAAAACAGAATGCAAGTGTGATCCTGTCTAAGCTGCAAAACAGGACGTTAGTGCTGTTTTATCTTAGCTGTCCTGACTCCATATTTTCTTGTTGGGGACCCTGGCCCTGACTGCCTACCTGTCCAACTCACTCCTCCCAGCCCCAGAAACCTTTCGTGTTAGCCTTGCAAGGGAGCACCCCCGGACTGATGGGGGGAAGTAGGCGGGAGGACGGTAGGGAGGAGCAGCAAGAGTGGGACCCAGTTGCAGCTTTAACAGCTTTCACCTATTCTTCTTTATTTTTTTTTCCTTTTGAGGATGAAGTGCTGTAAATTGAGTAATTCCTCATTGCCCATTGCTGCCTTCGAGACTTGGCATTCTTGGGTCTGCTAAAGTCTGTCACCACCCTGCATTCCCGATTCCAAAATCGTGTTGTTAGCATTACTTGTGCTCCCTCTCTGTCCTTCAGAATTTATGCCTTTTTTAAAGAACTCCACGCACTGTAGCTTTACTGTGGTTTGCAGGGAACAAATTTAGATGCGTGTATGGGATCGATCATGAACCTGGAAAAACAGGAGCAGTGGTCATCACAAACGGCATTCCTCCCTTGTGCCAGCCACTGGCTAAGCGCGCTGAAGAATTCAGTCTTTCAGCTTAGAAGTCTCAGTAACTTGTCCTTGTCAGCTCTCATAAAAAAACCAGTTGGAGGGGCCCCCGGGTGGCTCAGTCATTAAGCGTCTGCCTTCAGCTCAGGCCATGATCCCAGGGTCCTGGGATCGAGCCCCACATCGGGCTCCCTGCTCCGCGGGAAGCCTGCTTCTCCCTCCCCGACTCCCCCTGCTTGTGTTCCCTCTCACTATGTCTCTCTGTCAAATAAATAAAATCTTTAAAAAAAAAAAAATCAGTTGGAAACTGAGATTTCCAGATGAAGTGTTGACTTCAGTCTGTTTCACCTCTAATAACTGCGCACAGAGGCAGAGAACCGCACCCCCACAGAGGAGCCACACGTTTGGCTCTGTTTCCTTTACCCTCATCGTGTCCCTCTCTGGATGCTTCTGCCCGCAGAGGAGCGTGCTCCAGCTGCTGCAGTCCAGGAGTGAGGTGGTTCGGCAGTACATGGCCCGGCTCGTCAACGCCTTCGCGTCCCTGGCGGAAGGTGAGTCGTCAGCTTTTCTTCAAAGAGAGCGGCTAGGTCTTACTTAGTGCATTCTGTTCCTTTGAAAGGGGACATTGCTCTTCAAGTTCCCTAAAGGCGCCATAGGCGTCCTCAGTATATTCCTGTTCAGTGCATCGAAGGTGTCTCGTGCAAGCTGGTTGCTGTCACATTGCTTAGTGTATGTCAGAGCAAATTTTGATGGTTTTAGAGTTTATAAGCCTTCTGGTTTTATTTTATAAGCTTTCTGGTTTTGTAACAGTACTATTTAGACTGTTTTCAAGGATATAACAGGTAATGCATTTTCTGTAATTTTCTGCTTAAGGCAAAATAAAGTTAGTGAAATAATCAGAGCTGATCCCAATAGGCACTGCATCATTGCCTTCAAGAGACTACAAACTCTTGGGGGCGCCTGGTGGGCTCAGTCGGTGGAGCGTGTGACTCTTGACCTCTCAGGGTTGTGGGTTCAAGCCCCACATTGGGTGTAGAGTTTACTTAAAAATAAAATCTTAAAAAAAAAAAAAAAGCGGATAACCTCTTATACCAAGAGGATTTGAAAATTCCAAAGGTAATACACACCAAAGCTGAATTCAGAATGACTTTACAAAGTATCATTATCTTCCATAAGTTCTGCTTTGTTTCAGCTTTTTAAATGTGAATAAAGGGAGTTTTCAAATTATGAATATATGATACTCCAAAAGTTGGTTCACTCAATTATTTGCTTGTTCTTCCAACCATTTAGCAGACCTTTATTATGAACGAGTACATGCATTAACATCATCTGTATCAAGACTCAAGTCCACAATGGGCTAGTGATAACTCAAGGCTTATTGTAGGGTCCCAGGTATGGTTCCCAACTCCTTCTGCAGGCCACGGGTACGTCTAGAAGGAGCAAGGCGTGTGGCCAGAAAGCATTACTATTTGACAGCCTCTATTATAAAGACTAAGGAGCCCATAACATATAGATTCCTCACCTTCTTTCTCCCTATAGATCTGGCAATGTTCCCCACAAAAACATAGTGATGAATTATGTTTAAAGATTATTTATTTATTTATTTATTTGAGAGAGAGAGAGAAGGAGAAGCAGACTCTCCAATGAGCGCGGAGCCCAACACGGGGCTTGATCTCACAATTCTGAGATCACGACCTGAGCTGAAATCAAGAGTTAGAGGCTTAACCGACTGAGCCACCCAGATGCCCCATGATGAATTATGTTTCGATTATAAGAAGAGTGGTTTTCTCGTCATTAAATAGTTGATTGGATAAAACCAACTTTGCAGAAGAAATAGGTTCTAAGTTTTTTTTAGAACCTAAAATTAGCTAAACTCTACATGTATTACATGCAAAGTGTTCATAGAAAGTGATTTTGGGGCATTAACTTAACACAAGATAAATTCTCTCACCCGTGCATCTCTGGTTATATTATTAGGTCGCCTCTACCTGGCCCAGAGCACAAAGGTGCTGCAGATGCTGGAGGAAAGGCTGAAGGAGGAGGATGAGGACATCGTCACCCGCGAGAACGTTCTCGGGGCCTTGCAGAAGTTCAGCCTCAGGTGCTGACCGTGCAGTAGGTCTTCGTGGCTCCTGTGAAGTCAAATAGGGCTTATGTGAGCCACTGTTTAGTCCCAGTGGCAGCCCAAGAGGCAGATGATATTTTCAGTTAACATTTAGGAGAGGTTGGGTGACTTTCCAAGATGGAGCTAGAAAGCTTATCTCGAATCCTCAAAACCTTCTGCTCAGGCTGCTGCAGAGGGAGGAAGTGCTGTTGCGGTCTCCTCGTGACTGGTAGCTGGTGCTGACCAGGGGCTGGATTGTGTTCCAGGCCGCATGCCCACGAACAAAACCTGATAGGGCTCAGCCTGCACGTTGCTCACAGCCCGTTATGGGAGGTGCACGTAAACGCACAGTCACGTCGGTGTGATAGGTAGTTCCGTGGAAGGCAGGTTTGGAGCCTCCCGCTTCCTTGTGCATGCGTCCCAGCAGCCCACCCTGTAGTCTCCACCTGGACCCTGTCGGGACTTGCATGCTCTATCCACCTAGAGCTTGCTTTTTTTTCATGAACAGCTTTATCGAAGTGTACTCTCATAGCACAGAATTCATCCCTTTTAAATGTACCATTCACTCATTTTTAGTATACTTACAGAGTTGTACAACCATCACCACAAGCTAATTTTAGAACATTTCCATCACCACACAAAGAAACCTCAGGCCCATTTCCAGTCCTTATTCCGACCCCCAGCCCTAGGTAACCACTGATTTGTTTTTTGTAGTGTTACCCATAATGGACATTTTTAGATAAGTGGAATCATATAATATTTGTTCTGTTTGACTGGCTTCTTTCACTTAGCATAGCGTTTCTGAGGTTCATCCATATGGTAGCCTGTGTGAGTACTTTCTCCTTTTGTAATGCTGAAGAACACGCCATTTCATGGAGAGACCACATTTGGTTTATCTGTTCATCAGTTGATGGACATCTGGATTTTATCTACTCTTTGTGTCTAATCGTGTTCTGAACATTTGCCTACAAGTCTCTGTGTGGATGCATCCTTTCCCTTCCCCTGAGTCAGTCAGTGTCTAGGAGTGGAGTCACTGAGTCATGGAATTCTTCCAGCATGTGGATTCCCTCAGGAGCACCTCACTTTCTCTTTGCCTTAGGAAGAATTCTAGTACCTTGAGTCCTCAGCTTTTTCTGATCGTTAGTCCTCTTCTGGACATACTTTCTTCCTGTCAGACGTGGTTGACATGTGATTGACTCTCGCTAGTATCCTAAGGCCTGCAAAGTGACTTATTCTAAGTGTGCACATTTAGAGAGGGAAAGCAGTAGGTGTTCAGTTGCTACTGTTTGCCAGGTCCCTGCCAATGAAAAGTTCTTGTTCAAACTATGTGTGAATTGAAAAGAACTGTAAGTGGTAAACTCCAGTAGTAAAGCTCTTGTTTCCTCAGATCATATGAACACTTGGTTTTTGTTTAGAAAGATAATTTAGCTTGATGTTGACCGTATTTGGAAAATTTTTGGAAATTTAATAACTATAGCAACAAAGATAAGATATAATGAAGAAATACTTCCTCCTGGTAATATAGATATTTATTGCCAGTTTTTTCTTGTGCTTCAAACAGTAATAAGCTATTCTGTTCTAGAAATATGCTTGATGTTTTTGCAATGTTCTAGGGTCTGTACAATGAAGGTAGAAAGTAGTTAGGATTACCAAGAGTGTTGCCTTCATTATATTCCAGTAAATTTCACTGGTGAGGTGAGTGTGGTATTTAAGAATAGCACAGACAGACGCCTGGCTGGCTCCGTGAGTGGAGCATGTGACTCTTGATCTCAGGTTGTGAGATCCAGCACCACGTTGGGTGTAGGGATTACTTAAAAAAATAAAATCTTAAAAAAAAAAGAATAGCCCAAACAGATAGTGCCCTGGGTGCGAGTTTTACCGTAGCCTGTTCATTAGGGGATGTACAGTGGTGTTTCTTCCATGGTGTTTTGATTTTCAAAGAATTCACATGACTTCTCATGATGATACCATCATGCTTAATCTCATCAATTCTTTGGTGGGGGGAGGGGCAAAGGGAGAGGGAGAGCGTCTTAGGCAGGCTCCACGCCCAATGCAGAGCGGGACGTGGGGCTCGATCTCACAACCCTGAGATCATGACCTGAGCTGAAATCAAGAGTCGGACGCTGAACCAACTGAGCCATCCAGGCACCCTGAATCTCATCAGTTCTTGAGGTTGGCAGGAAGACATTCCCACCATAACACATTTGGATGAGATGTTGGATTTTATAAGATCTTACACCTGGACTTTGGGCAGAAAATAATTCTGTATAAATTGTATTGCTCACATCATTAAACTACCCTTACGTTACAGAGACCTGAATCAAAATGGGATTGAGCTGATTTTTGGCTTTTCTTTGTTTTTACACAGCTCAAAGTGCCTAGCTGGACTAGAGTTTACTAAAAATCTGTTTGTCAATGAACTATTTCTGTGGCTGTCTGCTGGGTGAAGTAGACCAAAAGCTTTCAGTAAATATTTATTAAATATTTGAAGTAGTACTCTGCTCATTTTAAATAGAAAAAGAAATTTTCAAAGTAGAAGGTCTCCTGACTGCCTTGTCTCTCTCTAAATCCTTAGGGATACCTGCAAAAGGTAAAGAATTTGTTGTTTCAGTTGTGTGTGGGTCTAACAAAATGTTCTTCAGAGTCTGTATCTTCCACACAGTTTGTCTTGTCTCTTTTTTTTCTTAAGATTTATTTATTTATTTGAGAGAAAGAGAGCAGGGGGGAGGGGCAAAGGGAGAGAGAATCCTCAAGCAGACTCCCGCTGAGTACAGAGCCCAGCAGGGGGCTCGATCCCATGACCCTGAGATCATGACCTGAGCTGAAACCAAGAGTCGGACGCTCAACCGGCTGAGTCACCCAGGCGCCCCATCAGTTTGTCTTTTCCAGTCGGTATGCACATCACCACGCACTCTTACAGGGAAAGTTTCTTGCGAGCTTTCGTTGACCTGTAGGCTTTTGCATCCTAGGCGCCCGCTGCAGACAGCGATGATTCGAGATGGCCTCATCTTCTGGCTGATTGATATTCTGAAGGACCCCGATTGCCTGTCGGACTATACACTGGAGTACTCGGTGGCTTTGCTCATGAACCTCTGCCTCAGGAGTGCAGGTCTCACAGCCCCCTGTCCCTGGGCCCTCTGGCTTTGGTGCGGGGGAGGGGAAGAGAGCCTGACCCTCAAACCTGGATGACCACCCAGCCTGATGTGGTTTGCCTTTAGTCTCCCATAGAAAACTGAAACAGCAGTAGAGTATAAAACATTTCCAACTAGTTATGCAGCTGTTGAATCCCTGAAGCCTGATACCATTCTGGCCTTGGAAAAGAACATTTTATAGGTATGCAGTGCCTGAATTAAGAGGAAATTAAGATAGTTTACATTTTTCTTCATCTTCATTGCATTATTCAAAGGTAGGAGGTGAAGAATTATGATCCATTCTATCCAAAGACAGAGAAATATGTTTCCAAGATTCTACAGGGCTAAGTTGGGGGCAGAGCAAGGATGTCAGACCGTGTCCCTGCTCCTAACCACGGCCGTCTCTCCCCCTTCACTCCCCCGACATGGGATTCTCCCGTGCACATCTCGGGACATTTGATCCATAAAAGGAGTGATTGCAGCTTTTCTAGAGGTTCCATCCCATTTAAGTGATCTGTTACCTGGGATGGAAGAAGCTTCTTTAGAAGAAGTGTTAAGTCCAGCCTGTGGCTGACCCCGGTCTGAGCAGCCCCAGTTTTGGAAGAAGAAGGTTACATGGTTAAATAACTCAGCGGTATTTGTGAGAAGCTTCGTTGCCTTTGGATGCTTTGTAATCTGAACCACTCATGTGTTGTTGACTGAGTAAATGTGATTTCAATCTTCTTAAGCTTAAAGAATAGCATATGCAAGTATCCTAGCTTTGAAACATTTACCAGATTCTAAGCAGCTTTTCTTAGTATCACCAATTTATTTGCAGCGATTGTTACGATGTTTGGATTGGCTAAGACACCTGTATGATTTTTATGATGGTGGTGTGAGCACCTGGGAGGCAGAGCACAGCTCTGTAATAGGTTGTTTTCCCACTGATGGTCACGAATAGCTCTGCGCCCTCTGCGCCACCATTTACTGAGCGCTCGGAACGCGCAGCCTGTTCTGAGTTACTTCCTTCTGCATCACCCTTTGCAACAGATGTTAATAATCCCTAAGGAATCCCAGGAGGAAGAAACTGGGGCCCAGATTGGCTAAGTGACTCACCCGGGGCCACACAGTTCATAAGCAGAGGAGCCAAGATTTGTGTTCAAGTCTGCCTGACTTGAAACTGTGATTGGACGTTTAGACATGTCGTGTTTTGTCTCATTGTTTTTTCTAAAGGGAAGAACATGTGTGCCAAGGTGGCGGGTCCGGTGCTAAAAGTTCTGTCGGATCTGCTCGGCCATGAAAACCACGAGGTACTGGGCTGGTGCTGCCAGCCTGGGGGTTGGGGGAGGCTGGCCACGCTAGTCAGTGCACCCCCTCCTCCACATTCTGGAACTGGGAAGCGGGAGGTTGATCCCAGCTCCTCATTTCCTATCGCTCCACCGTCACGGGTCTGTGTCAGCTCCCTCCCAGGCCTCACTCTCCTCCTTGTCACCTACCCTGCTTCGTTCTTCCCCCACGTCGGCTCTCCCCGTGGTGCGGCGTGGCCTGAAAGTTTAGTTAACGCTGTTCCTGCATGTGTAACTGTGTCAGTGGTATTGCGCTCTAGATCGCCTTCTTTTCTTACTTTTTCACTGTTTTTAGACTTTTCTGTGTTGCTTTGTGTACATCTCATTCCTTAATCTCGCCACTGCAAAACAGCCCCTGTTTGCGGCGCCCCCATCCAGTCCCCCGGGCTTGTCCACCTCCGCTGCCTCCAGCCCTGAGCCGCCACGCCGGTCCTCAGTGACATCGCCATACTGGCCCCCAGGGGCCCCCGGGGTGCAGACACACGCGTCGCTGCTGGCTCGCCCTGGGGGTCCGTCTCAGGTCGGAGTCCCGCCACGTTGTCCTGCAGAGTGGCTCTACCAGCCTCTGCTCTCCCCCCCCCGTGTCCTCCCCAGCACGGTGGGGTTTTCTGTCGGCCAGCCTGTGGGCCATAAGCCCTTTTAAAATGAAGTAGAGGTCTTGATAAACTAATTGATAAACTAGTAGCTTTTATCAGATTCTCAAGGGATCCCTAACTCCTAAATCTTAACGTGGTATGAGTGTCCTCTCACTGGCTTTCTGCAGATGCCTGTGCAGAAACCGTGGCATCACTTGGCACCTGAAGCCAAAGCCTCAACAGAAACCTGACCTCTTTAGCCAGATCAGGTGCACGGGTGTCTTAGCAGGACAGGACTGAGTACCACTGGGTCAGAGTGAGGCACTTAGCTGCAGACAGCTCTCTTCTCTTCATTTGTCTCGCATCTTCCATCCCCCTGGCCCCCCCCAGCTGAGTGACCCGGGCTGCTTCAGCAAGTGAAGGGTTGGTGGTTGTTACAGTGTATGCCATGCTTTTTATATTTTAAAATCAAGAGCTCTTGACTGCTTCTAGACTCTGTTCTCCATTTTATTCAACGAAGGCAGTTGAAGCCTATGGGAAATATATTCAGTCTCTAATAGTAAATGTTGGTTTCAAGTGTTGGAACCAGTATGTTACCTCTGAGGACAGAATAGACCGGAGGATTGTTACAGATATATTTGCTTTGAAGATGAGCTGGAAAATCTACCTGTACACATGTTAGAGCCTAGAAATGTGTTCGCTACACAAATCAATGCTACGTACATGTGTCCTGTGTGAGATAGTCGTGATCTTGAAAATGAAACCCGAGAGCCATAACGAAAAAGATGCACAGATTTGACTCTGTGAACATTAAATTTTTTTATATGGAAAAAGAGGCCACAGTAAGAGTCAACGGACAAATGATACCCTGAGGAAAAGTTTGCATCACATAGGAACGAAGTTTAATATCCCTTATATATGAAGATCTCCTATAAATTGATAATTAAAAGACATAAGAAAAGGATAAAGTGCACACATGGGCAGTTTACGGAAGAGTAAATCTTGATGACCCATAGATAAAGACAAGATGTTTAGTTTTGCCGATAGTCAGGAAAATGAAACTAAAAACAACCATAAGATGCCTTTTTTCTCTTTACCCATTAGACTGGCAAAAACTAAGGGATAATAAAGTCCAGTGCTGGAAAAGAATGGTGGGAATGGGCCCTCCTCCATTGCTGTGGAGGGTGTAGCACAAAATCTACTCAAAAGGGAGCTCTCATTTATCAAGCACCTGCCATGTACCGTGTCCTGTGCAGCTTGAGGTTGGGGTTACCTGTGTGAGTAAAACATGGGTCCAGTCCTTGAAGAGCTCACAATGGGGGAGACAGAAGTATAAATATAAAAATAGACTGAATCCAGTAGAGCAGTGGAGGGATATACAGGAAGCAGAGCAGAGTGTGTGGTGTGGTGGGGGGCCCTGTAAGTAGGGTGAGACCGATCTGTACAGTGTAAACCCCATGGTGGCAGGAAGGGAGGGGCAGGGGGACATGATATTGAGGCCAAACCTTGAAGGGGCCTGTGTGCTGTACTAAGAAGTTAGAACTTTCCAGGTAGGCTCTAGGGAAGGTTTCCGAGGTAGGAAGCGGGATGATTTGGCCCATGTTGTAGAATTTTGGCAATGATGTGATTGTTGGACTATAGTGTGAACATCAAAGAGAGAGACTCTTTTGGAGATTGAGTGTCACCTAGGTCACGGACGATGTCTGAGCAAGGACAGTGGCAATGTGTGTGGGAAAGAAGGGTTCCTATCAAAGGAGCCTGGAGACTGAACTCTGGAGAGAAGCGAGAACAATCGATGATGACTCCAGCGGTTCTAGAAGCCTGCGTGATCAGCATGACGTTAGTTAAGCAGTGAAACACAGCAGGAGTGAGCTTTGGGAGCCAATAATGAACTTGGCTTTGAACTCTTAGTTGTCGCTGTCACTGGGACATGCAAATGGAAAGATCTGTCATTTGGAAACAGGCATCCTGGAGCTCAGGAAGATGGTAACGCTCACTCTCCTCATTAGCCAGATTATTCTTGAGTGGGGTGTTTGATCACGGAGTTGTACAGTGTTTGAGAACTTGCAAATGACCGTTTTTTTCTCCCCTTAAAGATACAGCCGTATGTGAATGGAGCTCTGTACAGCATCCTTTCTATTCCATCCATTCGTGAGGAAGCAAGAGCAATGGTAAGGAAATGGGCTGGAGCAGTTCGTAAGCTGCAGTCAGTGGCGCGGTTCGGAAGCTGTTAGAGCAGGGAGCTCCTAGACCGTGTTGGGCTCCGTGGCTTACACACAGTTTGCGAACTCCCTGAAATTATATGCCAGATACACATGTGCAGTTTTCTGGGGAGAGAGTCTGTAGCTTTTATCAGATTCTCAAGGGATCCCTAACTCCTAAATCTTAAGAACTACAGTGTTAGAGGGGCTCCTGGGTGGCTCAGTCGGTTAAGCAACTGCCTTCAGCTCATGTCATGATCCTGGAGTCCCGGGATTGAGTCCTGCATCGGGCTCCCTGCTCTGACCCTTCCTCCTCTCGTGCTCTCTTTCTCTCTCTCAAAAAAAAAAAAAAAAAAAAAATTTTTTTTTTTTTTTTAGAAGGAAGAACTACAGTGTTAGAGGGGCACCGGGATGGCTCAGTCGGTTGAGCGTCTGACTCTTGATCAGCTCAGGTCCTGATCTCAGGGTCGTGAGCCCACATTGGGCTCCCTGCACTGGCTGTGGAGCCTGCTTAAGATTCTCTCTGTCCCTCTGCCCCTGCCTTGCTCATGCTCAATTTCTCTCTCTCTCTCTAACAAAAACTACAGTGTTAGAAAGTTCCCAGCAGGCTTATTTTTGGAAAGTTACATTTTTATAGACATTTTTAATGGTTCATTTTAATTTGGGGCTTTGGGTAAGCCTATGCATTTCATAGTAGGAGAGCAGGAAAATGGTAAAATGGAGAAAGTCCCGACTGAAATGCACCCCCAGGATTCCTGGAGGGCCTGGGGCAGCAGTGAAAACTGGCGCAGGCCATGGGGCGCCTGAGTGGCTCAGTTGTTAAGCGTCTGCCTTCGGCTCAGGTCATGATCCCGGGGTCCTGGGATCTAGCACCGCATCGGGCTCCGTCCTCCACGGGAAGCCTGCTTCTCCCTCTCCCACTCCCCCTGCTTGTGTTCCCTCTCTCACTGTGTCTCTCTCTATCAAATGAATAAAAAATCTTAAAAAAAAAAAAAAGAACTGGTGCAGGCCAGACACTCTTAACCTATGGGCGCTCTGACAGCAACCAGCGGGGCCAGAAGTCCAGCTAACGATGATGAAACTGTCAGGTAGCTACTTTGGTTGGTAAATAGTGAATTCAGTATTTAGTGTGTTTACATTAGTGTTTATATTGGAAGTATAAAACAAGCTTCAGGCGATTAGCATCTTTTAAGGTGACAAGTGTTTCTAGATCTAATCAGCAAAAGCACTGGAGTTTTGCCCTTTTCCCTGTAATGTGAAACCAGGTTAACAGTGGGCATATTAAATGCTATGATGAAGAGATTAAATATATTTCCACAGTCAAAACACAGGCCAAATTCAGTTTGAGACCAACGAAACATGTTCTTCCACTTGATTCTGCTTCCTTAAAAGAATTGCTAAATCTCCTAATTAGTCATCTAAAATTACATCAACAGTTATGCCAGAGATAAAAAATTAAGAACCATTCTGTGTGGTCACAGTATAGTAATGCAACTTAACTGCCTATTGTTTTAAAAAAAAATAAAATCTGCTATCTCAATACGGAACAGGGAAAATAAACTTGATTAAATTCTGCCTTATGGTCATTCCAGTGACAGAAATTGTCAACCAAGGCCAAAACAAGGAAGCAGACATGTAGGCTGAAGAAAAAGAAAGAACAGAGATGATATGGATCAAGTAGCATGAAAAGCAGCATGGAGGAAGGACATCCAGGGTGAGGGGTGGAGAAGACAGGAGCGAACGGCGGTAAAGGGACAGGGACCAGGTGGGGAGGAGAGACTTGAAATTGTAGGTTGTGAGGGTGTGACTCTTAGAGATCATCCAGGCCACAGAGAAAAAATGTGGAGGAAAGGGACAGTGCCTCAGACCTGGGGGACGATACCCAGAGGTCTCACACTTATGTAACTGGAGTCCCAGGAGAGGAGAATATGATATTATAAGAACTCTGTTTTTGCAACTATTTGTGTGCTGGTGGAAAATGACGAAGAATACCTAAAAATTATATCAGTACCAAATGCTATTATGGCAGTCTCAAAATAATACCCACCAAAGTGGAGAAAATGGTAAAAGAGTACAGTGAGCCCCATTTGAACTTAGAAGAGACTGCCAAGGTCTGGGGCGGGAGAGCAGTTCAGATCAATAGGGATGCCCTCATGCCTACTCCAAAGCCTCCTGCGTCCAGGGCTGAAGCAGTTGTCAGCCACGAAGCTCTTCTGTGGGATTTAAACCCCAGCCAAACATTCTGCCCTGAGCTGGAGCAGACTGCTGCCCTCTTGGCAGCCTCTTCCTTGATCCAGTGACTATCCAGAGTTGTTCTTCCCTTCCAGACCACTCCTTCACGTTCTCCTCTGTGTGCTTACCTATCTCTGCCTACCAGTTAAATGTTACTGTTCTCAAAGATGCTGTCCTAAGCCTCTCACTCTTCTGTCACCTGCAACCTTGTTTATTCCCTTGGCCTCAGCTACCAGATCTCTCTTCTGAGCCACAAAACCCTTCCAAACAGCAAGCACAGTCTTAACCATTTATTGAGCATCTATTGTGTGCCAGCGGTTGGACTAGATGCTATTTTTTTACGTATGATTTATGAACAGTGAAATGCATAGGCCTTATATACGTAGTTCCGCGCATTTGACAAACATACATCTATATAACCAATACCCATTCTTCATCTTCTAAAAATTTCATGTTAACTAGAGTTGCCATCTTTATTTTATAGTTGAGGACACAGGCTGAGAGGAACTAAGCAATTTGACCAAGGTCACACAGTTAATTCATGAGGGAGCTCAGATACAATCCAGTCTTAACCTTCTAGAAGGTAATGCTCTGCTCTAGGTGATGGGAATTCACCGTGTTCAAAACTGCACACTTGGCACTTCTTTGATTCAGTTAGAGCTATTGATTCCAAACAGGCCTGCCTTTAAAGAGGGAAATGTTGGCTCATTTCACTGAGAAGTCCAGGCATAAACTCCAGGCAGAGCTTGATCAGAGTTCACTGTTAGTAGATCCATTTCTCTCTGCTTCCTCTGTTTTGGGTTCATGATGAGAAACACTTTCCCCTTGCAGTGGCAAGAAGCCTCCCCAGCTCCAGCCACAAATCCTCATTCGCATCCCTCAAGGAAAGAGGAGGGAGGGGAGACAGACACCTGTGCTCGAGTCCGTGTCTTAACCTCTACGTTTCCCTACAATTCTGTTAGTCAATATTGAAAAGTCTGATGTCAGCGTTTTATGATAAAGTAAATAATGTACGGTGTAGTGACTTTGTAATTATTTTGATAGAAAAAGAATGATAGCTGTTTAAAAAGAGGTGCTGCTTGTTCATTTACTTCTCTACACATACGGTTTTACTCTTCATTTTGTGCCTAAAATCCAGAAGGAAGAGTATAAAGAAATCACAAGAAAGAAACCACCTCCCAAAACAACATACTGCCCAAACTAAAGGGAGTACTTACTTACCCAGTAAAATTTTACAGTTTTTTTTTTCACTTATTATCAGAGTATAGTTGACATACAGTGCTATCTTAGTTTCAGGTGTACAATATAGTGATTCAACAATTCTCTATGTTACCCAGGGCTCATCAAGAGAAGTGCAGTCACCATCTGTCACCATACAACATTATTACAGCATTATTGACTATATTCCTGATGCTGTACTTTTTTTTTTTTTTTAATCTCTATGACTCCTTACTTATTCTCTAACTGGAAGTTTGTACCTCCTAATCCCCTTCACCTACTTCACCCCTCCCTCCACCCACCTCCTTCTGGCAACCCCCAGTTCTCTGTACAATAGGTTTTCTTGTTGGCTAAATGTTTTATAATTTGGTCGGATAGTCAACCAAGACGAAAATAATGCCACTGTGAATTGTAAAAAGAACAAAAATAATGCTTAGTACTAGCAGAGGAATTTTTATTGTGTATATCCCTCCCCTCCAAATAAAGGGTTTTTTTTTGATTAGGTGAAACTATTCCATTGAAAACTAGTTTCACCCCATTAAAAAAAAGCCCTGAAATATTAACTCTTACTCTCTCCAATGCCCCTAGGGAATGGAGGACATCCTTCGCTGCTTCATCAAAGAAGGCAATGCTGAAATGGTCCGCCAGATCGAATTCATCATCAAGCAGCTTAATTCAGGTCCGTTCAATGCAAGAATCTGTGATCTTTTGCATCTTTCACATGGGCTAGAAGAATGTGTGAGCTTTCTTAGAAGGCTTGTCGTGTCTTGGAATTCATTCAAGAGGCTTTAAGGGAGGTTGGGGAGACCCAAGCAAACCCACCAACAAAAGTTTGACCAGGTAGTCAAAGCCAATCTGTCCCAAGACCAGCATCTCTCATCACACTTCAGGCTTATAGTCAACAAAAAGAATTCAAAAGCAATCACAAACACCCTGCGTGTAGGGTACATTCTCTTTATGCGGGCTTCCCCCTCCTAATTCTTCCCCCACCTCATAAGGCTTCCCTGGGGTCCCAGTAAGGAAAACAAATGCCAGTCTCCCCAGCACTGCTACAGAAAACATCATTCTCCCGCATGCATTCATTCTTTCAAGAAAAATTTATATTGCCTACTGGCTCCATGGGAGGATATGATCCTCTTTCTCTCTGGCTTTCTCCATTACCGTGACAATCTACATCCCATAATGAGCAGGAAAGGAAGGTGCAGGAAGCCTTGGATGGAACCAGGATGGAGAGGAAACTCTAGCTCTTTCTGTGGACCCCTGACACCTTGCTCCTGACTCATACACCTGTCAGAGGCACCTGGCCCTGCCTGCCTCCGGGGCCTAGTTTGTCATGTATGTCTTTCTACATGCCCTTCCCATCACAGAAAATCCATGTGACAGATCCTGCCCCGCACATGAGCGAAGGTAAAAAATGAATCTCCTGATCGCTACTTCCAAGTCAGCAGCTTGAGCAAGGTAGCTGCCAGAAGCCATTCACTGGAAGAAGCCCATAGGTGGCTCTTTAGCTCATGGTTCACAGCCTGGGCTGCACGTGGCAGTCACCTGAGGAGATTTTTAAGTCCCCAAGGCAGCATCCCATGCTGGTGAAATCAGAATCTCCGGGGGAACCCCAGGTGTGAATAGTGTTTAAAGCTCCTGGGTGATCCCCATGGGCAGCCAAGATGGCGTATCCCTGCCTCTGACGTGCACCCAAACGGAGAGGCAGAAAGAGGATGTTAGAGGCTCCTGATCAACAGGAAGCAGCTGGGAGAGCAGCCAGTGAGGTGTGAGACCTCAGCTGTCTTCAGGCTAGGGCCCATTTCCATGTGAACATCCTCCCCCGTGGTTCCTACAGAGCAAATATGATTCATCCCAAATTCAGGTGAGCAAGGAATAGAATTTGATTTTCTGCAACAGCTTCATTTCTTTTTTTTTTTTTTTTTTAAGTTTTATTTAATTTGAGAGAGCTCGCATGTACACGAATAGAGGGAGGGGCAGAAGGAGAGGGAGAGAGAGAATCCTCAAGCAGACTCCCCTCTGGGCGCAGAGCCTGACACAGGGCCCGAGATCACGACCTGAGCCAAAATCAAGAGTCAGACATTTAACCGACTGAGCCACCCAGGTCCCCTGCAACAGCTTCATTTCTTTCTTTCTTTTTTTTTTTTTTAAGATTTTGTTTATTTGAGAGCATGCGCAAGAGAGAGCACGAGCAGAGAGGAGGGGTGGAGGGAGGGTGAGAAGCAGACTCCCCGCTGAGCCAGATCCTGGGATCATGACCTGAGCCAAAGGCAGACGTTTTGTTTTTTTTTTTAAGATTTTATTTATTTATTTGACAGGGACACAGCGAGAGAGGGAACACGAGCAGGGGGAGTGGGAGAGGGAGAAGCAGGCTTCCCGCTGAGCATGACCTGAGCCAAAGGTAGACGTTTTGGTTTTTTTTTAAAGATTTTATTTATTTATTTGACAGAGAGAGAGACAACGAGAGCAGGAACACAAGCAGGGGGAGTGGGAGAGGGAGAAGCAGGCTTCCCGCCGAGCAGGGAGCCCGATGCGGGGCTCGATCCCAGGACCCTGGGATCATGACCTGAGCCAAAGGCAGACACTTAACGACTGAGCCACCCAGGCGCCCCTGCAACAGCTTCATTTCTGACTTCAAGCCCCAATTCTGCTGGGCAGGCATATTTACAAAATAACGCTAAATAAAACCTTAACTTCAGTCAGGGCTGAGCTTGCTCCCTAACCTTCTTTGGGTAGGCAACAGTTCAGAAAGAGAGGGAAGGCCAGGAACATTTGTCCCTTTCTGCTCCATGCTCATCAGCCATGCTGACACCTCCGTCCCAGGCCAGGGGTCCTGTGCAGCCTCAAGGTCACATCTAGCCGCGAATCTTCTTCAAGCGTGACTCTGTGTTTCAGTCTATTGAGACATAGCCACCTCCATTTCTTTGTCAGTCTTCCCTCCTTCCTGGCTGCCAAGGCACAGGGGGAGGTCCGCCTTGCTCCCTGGCCAAAACCATCTCTTTCTCTTACGTAAATCTGGCCCTCAAGTCAGCGTGCTGACAAATGTGAAGAGGGAGGGTCAGTTGACATTTCCATGAGAGATGTGCTTTGCCAAGAAGTTATCGTGGGCAGAGCTCACACTTTATGTCCAGGAAAGGCCTGAGATACACTTGCCTTTCTCGGTAAGTTCCAGTTTAAAGAAAGAATGTCAAGCACTTAAGTTATTCTGTATCCATGGGACAGTGGCAGGTCCCCAGAGACTATTACCTAGGAGTCTGCTACTTTGAACCAAAATTAGAAAGTCACTGAACATTTGGATGGAGGACCAGACATACACAAATACCTTAGGATATGTGTCATGAGCATGGAGTCAGGATGGATGAATGTACCAGCATGGTGATGAAAGCCAGAGAGGGCAGAGCTGGAGTTCCCACCCAGTCCAGGCCTCGTCCTCAAGTGGACAGTAACGGGAAAGTATGAATTAGTAGCAGTTTTCTAGTTTAAGATACGTGAAATGGCATTGCCACAATCCTTATTTTTTTACTTTCTTGTTTCACTTTAGTATATATTTAAGACATGTAAACGGGTTTTCATACATTCAAGCCCGTCTCCATTCTCTAGCACCACTTATCTTAGAAAGTTTTAAGGTTTCCAAATACAAAAATTCTAGCTACTTTAGGAACCTCTCCCCACAGGCAGGGAAGGACTGCTCTGGCGAAGCTCACGGGAAAGCTGGTGACCTGGCAAGCAGAGGTGACCGCCAACAGCAACAGCAGGGAGGTTCGTCCGTCATACCAGCCCTCAGCGAGGGGGACTGCAGAGAGGACAGGAGCAGGACAGAGCCAGCCTCACCGGCTGGGCCCTCAGGAAAGCAAGGAGACCGGCAGCTCCAGCACCACACGCTGGTAGTTACCGGAGTGAGGGCAGCAGGTTATGCCAGGGCCCAGCGAACAGAACAGCGTGGGAAACCGGGCTGATGCCCCCGTCATGCCCCAGAGGAAGAGCTGAGGTTTATAAGGTACTTTAGTTCTCAGGACTGGATTGTTCTGGGAAGAGAAGGCCTCTGAGCCAAGAGGCTCAGGGGAGTGAGTATGGCTGGACCAGCCGTGACCTCACAAAATGTCAAAGATTTCTTTTTTAAAAAGTGGCAGAGGGCATTTCCGTTATTTGAAAAAGAAATGTTTACAATTGATGAATATAGCAGCGACTCCATTTTGAAAGCCACTTGCTTGATGGGCATTTACTGCAGGTGGAACGGAGTCATGCTCCTCGTGCGCTGGGAGGGAGTAGAAGTTAGGTAATGCAGCATCAGCTCAGATGCAGAATGACATAATTTCCCCCTGTCTGCAAAGTAGTTTTCTTGACAATGGTGGGGCCATGATGGGCATGGAGGCGTGCAAGCCCCTCTGAGGTGAGGACAGAAGTCCGTGTCCTGCTGTCCTTGGTCCAGCCAAGTCTGTGGAGTCCTTCCCTTCGAAATGAGGCTCATGTCGAGGACGATGGGTGTCCTGGGGTTTCTACATATTCCCTTCCGTGAAATGGTTTGGGGGTTAAGTTTGGGTCAGTCTGCCACCTTTCTACGTGTGCTGAGCAGTCTCTTCAAGAATTGCCTTTCGGGCACCTGGGTGGCTCAGTTGGTTAGGCGACTGCCTTCGGCTCAGGTCATGATCCTGGAGTCCTGGGATCAAGTCCCGCATCGGGCTCCCTGCTCGGCGGGGAGTCTGCTTCTCCCTCTGACCCTCCCCCCTCTCATGCTCTCTGTCTCTCATTCTCTCTCTCTCAAATAAATAAATAAAATCTTTAAAATAAAAAAAAAAAGGATTGCCCTTTCAAGGGGCACCTGGGTGGCTCAGTTGGTTAGGCGACTGCCTTCGGCTCAGGTCATGATCCTGGAGTCCTGGGATCAAGTCCCGCATCGGGCTCCCTGCTCGGCGGGGAGTCTGCTTCTCCCTCTGACCCTCCTCCCTCTCATGCTCTCTGTCTCTCATTCTCTCTCTCTCAAATAAATAAATAAAATCTTTAAAAAAAAAAAGAATTGCCTTTCACTCTTTCTTTCCTCCTACTTCCTATTTGACTTCCCATCCTCTTCTCTCAGGCTTTCGTTACTTTCATGTCTTCTGTTTAAGAAATGAGTGATCATAAGGAAGATACATAAGGAATAAAGGGATGAGTAAGCCCTGTGCTTTGTTCCCCAGGCACTCACCATTCCCAGATAGTGCATAGCCATTCATACATTAGGAGGCACTGGTCAACCAAAAGTGGCAAGCACTATCAGAGTACTGTCTACTACAGTGCTGTCTCGTACTACCGTCTACCACAGTGCTGTCTAGTACTACTATCTACTATAGTACTAATACTGCTGTCTACCACAGTGCTGTCTAGTACTACTATCTACTATAGTACTAATACTGCTGTCTACCACAGTGCTGTCTAGTACTACTGTCTACTACAATACTAATACTGCTGTCTACTACAGTACTGTCTAGTACTAGTATCTGCTACCGTGCCGTCTAGTACTATACTATAGTACTATCTAGTACTACTATCTACTCCCATGCCGTCTAGTACTATACTACAGTACTGTCTAGTACTACTGTCTACTACAGTACCATCTATTACTATACTATAGGACTGTCTGGTACTACTATCTACCACAGTACTATTTCTACTATCTATTACCGTGCTGTCTAGTACTATACTATAGTACTATAGTACTATGCTAGTACAGTGCTGTCTAGAGAAAATGCTGAGTGTGTTCAGCAGAGCAAGAGAGATGACTACTCAGTGAGGGATCAGGGAAGTCTTCGTGGAGGAGAAAGTAACCGAACGTCTGTGTAATACCTGCCGTGTACCTGACCCTGGGCCAGGTGGTGTAGTTCTGGCGTGTTATAAAATCCCCCAATCACCCTAGGAAGTAGGTGGTCTGATACCCATTTCACGGATGAAGAAACAGAGGCTCATTCTCTGATTCCAGTGTGCTGTTATCCCCTTTGTAAACTCCTTTACAATCTAGCAATGAACCACGAGAGCCTTCGGGCACCCTGCTGCCATGGCCACTACTCCAGCCTCTGTGAAAAAATCATGGGATTTAGAAATAGACTCGACTCGAATGTGGGAATGAGACCATAAACAAGCCCCTTATCCTCTCTATGCCTGTGTTTGCTCTTTGCTATAGAATGGGAATGAGAGTCAACAAAATCTTTGTAAGGAGTAAATAACACGTGCGACGGTGCCCAGCACGGTGCCTAGTGATACTCGTTCACTTCCTTTCCTCTAAATTCCTCTCAAATTATATGCTGGCTTTCAACTTTTCTCCTGCCACTACCAGTGCGTTCTGGTACAAACAGGGAGAGAGATTTAAGTTGTGTAGGATGATCTGAGTCTGTGGCTGCGTGGGCACCAGAAACCCAATTGTTCTGGTGCCACCTCATTCTTGTCTCTGCAGCAGCTGAAGGGTTCTGTTGGCCAAGGCTCCCCACCGTGTTCACAGTTATTCATTCGTTTATTTTTTCGTTATTTAGAAGAGCTGCTGGATGGTGTTCTTGAATCTGATGATGATGAAGATGAAGATGATGAAGTAAGTTGGAGGCTCTTGACACCACATAAAAAACTTGGGCCAAACTATTTAGTCTCTTCCTTGCCTTGAAGAGTTAGTCCAGAAATGGGAGATTTCGATCCCTGCTGCCTTATTTCTGACAGTTCTGGGGGTTGGTTAGAGCTCAGCTGGGTGGGTGTCTGCTGGTCTCATGTGGGATGTCGTGTGGCTGCTTTCCGTGTCCAAGCTAGCCTCGCGTCCTCCACGGCCTCTTCACGTGGCCTCTAATCACTCAGCGGTCTCGCCCGCACTTCCTTCCCAGTTGGCAGCAAAACTTCCAACCCTCTCCAGGCTCAACGGCGTCAGAGCATCACTCCTGCTGGGTTCTGCTCAGGACATGTCACTGGGGGGCGGCAGTCAGACTCCACCAACAGGAGGGTTCGAGGTGGGAGCACTTGCGGGTGGCCACACCTTCGGTGGGCTTGCTGCAGCCAGCACACAGATTCCATACTCCACAGCACTTGGGTTTCACGGGAAGTTAAAAGACAACGGTTCTTCCACATGAATCTTTTGCTTTGAAGGGGCATGAGCCTCCCCTGGTCTTCCTTGTGGTTGGGAACGTTGGGCACAGAGGCTCACTGTGAGAATCTCTCGGGTGAGAGGCTTGGCTCATTTGACTCCTTTAATTGCATTTGTTTTCATGTGGGTTTCCTCAGCTGTGAAAAATCTGCTTACCTGGTGTTTTAAAGCCTGAAGGTTCAGAACTAATGTGAGTGAGTCTCATGAAATGGTATAGAGAATGGTGACTCGTGCACTATAAATGGATCTGTCAGACAGGCTTTTTCCTTGTTTTTCCTTCAGACCTAGAGAAAACATACACATTACCCTCTCCAGTTCTCTGTAGTAATAATTGGTTTGCATTCCTTCTCTGTTGTGGGGAGCAGTTACTCCTGAAGTGAATGTGGGGGACATGTTTCTCCTTGGAGCTGTGGTCTGTGTGTTTGAAAGGTATGTAAAAGTCAGATTTCGTCCATCCGTGGCAGTTGGGGAGCTAGTTCGTTTATGAGCCCTCCACCGAAGCAGACAGCCGCGCTGAGGTCCACCAGTGACTGTCCCTCCCACAGGCAGCCTCCCGCCTGCCACTTGCTCCCTGAGCTGTAGGTGGCACCGGCGGGTGCTCTCACCTTTGTCCGACAAGTGCGGCTCTGGACCTCGGCTGGGGATCCTGGCCAGCACCTTCTCCGGGGGTGGGCCCAGAGGGGAGGAGACCAGCCTCAGGTCACACAAAGTCGATGGCAGCAAAATCTGGTAATCTGGTTTAGAACAGGGATCGGCAGGCTTTTTCCGTAAAGAGGAAAGTAGTCAATATTTTAGGCTTCGTGGGCTCCTCAGGTCTCTGTTTCAGCCGCTCAGGCCCGCCACTGTAATGCACAGTACCTGTCAGCAAGACATAAATGGACAACTGTGGCTGTGTTCCCATAAAATTGTGTTTATGGACGCTAAAATTTGAATTCTGGTTGATTTTTATGTGTACTAAACATTTTTTTTCAAATGTTTAAAGATGTAAAACTCCTTCTCAGCTTGCTGGCCTTTCCCAAGCAGGCGTCAAGGAGGGCCTGTGATGTACTGAGCGCTGGGTGTTGTATGCATGCAACTGATGAACCAATCACTGACCTCTACTCTGAAACTAATAATGCACTGTATGTTAATTAATTGAATTTAAGTAAAATAAAATTAGAAAAAAACCCAAAAGCGTCTTGGCCTGTGGGCCATTGTTTGCCAGCTCCCTGACTCAGTCTTCTCAGGACTGTGATGCAACACCTGCTTTGTGCCTGGCCCTTCGGTCCTGTTCTAAATTAATTACATTTTGAGTTAATGTCTTAATTATTGAATTCCAGTGAGTTTTTGTCATTCTGTCCAAGAGTTCCCCTCAAGATCTCTTTTTCCTCCTCTTGTGTTACCTCTTTGGGGGTTTTTTTGTTTGCTTTGGATGTTTTGTTTTGTTTTGTTGCTGTTAACCCCTTTGAATGGCAAGGGAAAATTCATTTGATTCAACTGTTCTGTTAATGATGGGAATTCAACTTTTGGAGATATCCCTATGGAAGCAATTACAGTCTACTAAAAATGAAGGAATAGAGAGATCTTTTATTTATTTATTTATTTTAAGATTTTATTTTTAAGTAATCTCTACACCCAGCGTGGGGCTCGAACTCACAACACTGAGATCAGGAGTCGCATGTTCCATCGACTGAGCCCACCAGGCACCCATATAGAGATCTTTTAATTTTCTGGGCTTTTGGCTATCCTGTGCAGATTATTATTTTAAGAGGGTGGTGTTTGAAAATATTTGTTGTGATAACGAGAATTTTCAGAAGATTCCTAGGAGGGGTGTAGTTGGGAAACTGTAAGGAAAGGATCAGGTGTTTGAGGCCAGAACATGACGTTTTGTGCTGAACTCCAGTCAGCAGGTCCTGGACTTCCCCTCCCTTGTGACCCTGACGGCCAACCGCAGAGCATGAGCACAAGCGCCCCGGGGAAGGCTGGGCTGTCTGTGTTTTACTCACCCTTCATTGAGGGTCGGTGTGACTTTCTAAATTGGAAAGAGAAAGGAAAGTGAAAGATGCCCAGACTTAGACTAAAGGAAACTTCCAGAGATCATTTGAGCAAGTCACACTGTCGTTGGAATGTGGCTGCCGCCTCCCAAGCAAAATTATTTTCAAGGCCTCTGATCATATGTCATTTTGCTTAGCAATGTAAAATGTTTTTAATTTAATATTTAAACCCAAAACACAGATAACGGAGCCAGTGTTCTCAGGGAGCTACTCAGTGCTTCTCAAGATAAAATGGCTCTATCGGGGTGTGGCCAGAAGCCACGGGGATTATGCTCGTTTTGCCTTCCATTGAGTTAACATTTGTGCACTTCTGATTGCGGCCATGGGTCCTGCTCCCCTGGAAGCTCAAGAGAACCCCTAGATGCAGAATCCAGTTTTTCTCTCTAATTTCTAAAAATGTAATAACTTGTCCTGATGTGCTATCACTTAGTGATGTCTGATATGCGTACATTTATATGTGAAAATAAAAAATTGTAGAGTTAGAAATGTTTTTTTCGACTTCAAGACTGTCTGGGGTATGGGGCGCCTGGGTGGCTCAGTCGTTAAGCGTCTGCCTTCGGCTCAGGTCATGATCCCAGGGTCCTGGGATCGAGCCCC